GTGTCGCTGCATAATGTAGATTGCGTGACACACGCACTTAACGGCAGAACGATATTGAATTAATTAACAGCATGTTGCTGTCAAACATACGATTTATTACATCACTGAGTTAATTTGTACAAATATAGAGATCAACAAATATTGAGTTCCTATATTAAGATTAATATGTGTCTTATGCCCCTTATTGAGTATTTTTCATTGTAAGTTTATTTCCAGTAGCCAGTTCCAGTTTTGTGCAATGCATTCAAATGCGTAAATAAGCATTTTTTTCATTTTTGCATAGATTTGACAGTTCAGCTGTATCATTTGTCATTTTAATATAGAGACTATGCAGAGGCCATAACAAAACAAAAATTCACAACGCAATGTAAATGTAAGACTGTAATGTAATGTAAGTCTATATTAAACAAAGTTTGTATTTATTAACGTGTCTGCGGAAAGTCAAATGCTTTGACAAAACATTCAGGCATCTCCAGAAGAAATGCATGCTCATACTATATATACTGTATATATATATATATAGTGCTTCTTGTTACACAGTTACAATTATAAACAGAATTCAATTTAATTTATATATAATTATTATATTACTATATAAAATATTAAAGCTAGATGATAATCTGGCGCTGGCCAATGTTAAATTTATACTGACACCTACCGACCTGCACGCAGCATCATACAAAAATAAAGGATTATAGTAAGGGATGCAAGTGTTAATGCGGTATTCGTAGTGACCCATGATCATTTTTTTCCCGTGTGTATCCTAGAATGGTGATCACCCACATACAACAGCACTGGTCGGCTATTGCACAACATTCAGTGTCATCTGCCACTCAAATACAGATGTGCTACACACTGACGTCATGTTTGAAAAACATATAATAAACTTGTAAATACGTTTAATGGACATTTATTTAAAAATCACTAAATTCAGCTTTTTATTTAGGATTTTTGTGTTACAATTACAGCTGCTCAACTCATCTGCCAGTCACAACTGGAGGCAACATACTGCGACATGATCGTGACAATGTCAGTGACACAGGACTCAGTCCATCGGCATATGTCACAAGTTTTACTGACACATGCCACTTGAAAACCGGCTGTCCAAATGACACAGCTGAACTGTCCGATTTTCATTGGCATGTGTCAGTGGAGAGTGGCATGTGTCACTAAAACTTGGGACACATGCCACTCTCCACTGTCCACTGACACATGCCACTGAAAACCGGAAGTGTCACTGAGCATAGCGGCATGTGCCAATGGCATCTGTGCGTCAGATGTCATGTCACTTAATGTTAAAACTGCCTCTCTAAACTTACAGATTATGGGGCAGTAATATTATAATGAGACCCCTTTGCCACGTCACCAAGGGAGCGAAATCAGATGCACTCGTTTTCTCAGACGCTTGCAGAAAAAGGCTTTTTTAAATAGGCAAAGTTTCTGGGTTAATCTTTTTCACGTTTCCTTGGTTGGTACATGCACCAGGGACCTGATTATAGCACTTAAAACCTGGAAAAGTCAGATTTTCATGATATGCCACCTTTAAATCTATGTATTTGAAATGGAATTTCTATCCATTTGGATTGCAGTTTCACCATAAACTGATCAACTTAATGTGATGCATCTGTCATACATGAATGCAGCAGGTAATATTTCTGTAGTACTACTAATAAACGGGATGCATTTTAAATACACAATAACTAGGTGTGTGTGTATATATATATATAGGTGTGAAAAAGTGTTGGCCCCCTTCCTGATTTCTTATTTTTTTGCATGTTTGTCACACTTTAATGTTTCAAATCTTCAAACAAATTTAAATATTAGTAAAACATAACACAACATGCAGTTTTTAAATGAAGGTTTTTATTATTAAGGGAAAACAAAATCCAAAACTACATGGCCCTGTGTGAAAAAGTGTTTGCCCCCTAAACCTAATAACTGGTTGGGCCACCGTTAGCAGCAACAACTGCAATCAAGCGTTTGCGATAACTTGCAATGAGTCTGTCACAGCGCTGTGGAGGAATTTTGGTCCACTAGTCAGATTTTCATGATATGCCACCTTTAAATCTATGTATTTGAAATGGAATTTCTATCCATTTGGATTGCAGTTTCACCATAAACTTAATGTGATGCATCTGTCATACATAAATGCAGCAGGTAATATTTCTGTAGTACTACTAATAAACGGGATGCATTTTAAATACACAATAACTAGGTGTGTGTGTGTATATATATATATACAGTGGTGTGAAAAAGTGTTGGCCCCTTTCCTGATTTCTTATTTTTTTGCATGTTTGTCACACTTTAATGTTTCAGATCATCAAACAAATTTAAATATTAGTAAAACATAACAACTTCTTTCTCATTTGTTTCTGAATTTCTTTGGCTCTCGGCATTATGTCTAGCTTTTGAAGATCTTTGGTCTACTTCACTTTGTCAGGCAGGTCCTATTTAAGAGATTTCTTGATTGCGAACAGGTGTGGCAGTAATCAGGCCTGGGTGTGGCTAGAGAAATTGAACTCAGGTGTGATAAACCACAGTTTTAACAGGGGGGCAAACACTTCTTCACACAGGGCCATGTAGTTTTGGATTTTGTTTTCCCTTAATAATAAAAACCTTCATTTAAAAACTGCATGTTGTGTTTACTTGTGTTATCTTTGACTAATATTTAAATTAGTTTGATGATCTGAAACATTAAAGTGTGACAAACATGCAAAAAAATAAGAAATAAGGAAGGGGGCCAACACTTTTTCACACCACTGTAAATATATATATATTCTTTCCAATTTACGTTTTAATTAATTAAATATTGCTCGTTTGACAGCTACGCATATTTGAACCGTTTACCTGACAAAATGTAATTGTTTTCACCATAAACAGATTTATGCTGATTCTAAACCATTTAAATAAATGCATTTTAAAAATATGGTTATTTAAATAAAATCAAATAGATGAAAACTAAAAATGGATGGATGGAAATTTTATATGCAATTCAAACTACATAGATCTTAAATTTAGTCCTAAATATTTTTTTAGAGACAGCATTTTCAGTTTTCTTTTCTTTTTTCGGTAAATAATTAAACCAAATGTTTCTTTAATTTCCGAGCTTTTATGCACAAACATAACAGACAACTAGAGAAAATGCTTTCATTTTGCATGTACAATAAAAAGTACACATTTTAAAATTAGCAAAATAGTGCAAATATAATATAATATAAATCATACTTAATGGATAAACCTGTTTGTAACAGCAAAAAGACTACTAATGCGCCACGTTGTAATATAGGCTATATATCAAAGTATTTTTTTTTTAATCCGGTATTAAACCAAGTATAAACCAAATATTCATATCAAGCGTAGAGAATGTGTACAGTAGTCTACCATCAAAACCACAAGGAAGACGCAAAGCCATGGTTTCTTCAGAGAGTCTCAGAACAAAGACAGGTGCAGTTTGGAAGCAAGGTGAGGCACGAGGCAGAGGAAGGGTCTGAGCGTCACACAGAGCCGAGCATCGCATTGGATGCGGAGGCAGAAGGTGTGCTGCTCTACATGTGCTGCTGCTGCTGCTGCTGCTGCTGAGAGCGCCCGTCAGTCGCTCGCTCGCTCGCTCACCTGCCGCCAGTGTCTCTCCGGTCATGGACTAGTGCAGCACGGTAGTTTGGCACATGACGGAGAGGAACGGGAAGCTCGGTTGTTTTTCCAAGCCAAAGGACTGCCATCTACCTCGCTGCCTTCGCGACCGCTGTAGCGTAGCTTAAGAGCCGTTCGTTATTTATGTTTATTTATATTTATTTATAACGCGCGCGTTTCGTATCTGCATTGCACTGCATCTGGCGCCCCGATGCTTTTACATCAGTTCGTGAATGGGACGCTGGAAGCGATGTATCCCAGCGTTCAGAAAGACACGACTTTCACCAAGATCTTCGTGGGCGGCTTGCCGTACCACACCACGGACGCGTCGCTGCGGACTCACTTCCAGACCTTCGGCGACATCGACGAAGCCGTGGTGATAGCGGACCGGCAGACGGGCAAATCCAGAGGATACGGCTTTGTGAGTCAAAACACCAGTTGTTGTTTTTCTTCATCAGGGTTTATATAACTCTCAATAGCTCTTCAACTCAACGCGAAGAACAGTACTTTGTTTACTCAGTTCGGACAAATTTACTCTGCGCGAGGTTTAAGTAGCCTAAGTTAGTTAAATCTGCCGTGTTTGCTATTTTCACGTTAGTTTTGAAAACACTATTAATTGTAGAAATGCGACTTAAAGCTGTGCACAAAAGCTCGGTGTCCGAATCGTCAATGAATTGTTCTTCAGAGTCGAATCGTTTCAACAATCGCTTTGAACCGGTGAACAAAACTGTACTGAACTATTTGCTCTCCGGTCAACCGAGTCACTGAACCGAGAAACGTCGGACCCGTAATGAGCTGAAACTCTAAGCTGTTTTGACTCAGCAGTTGGGCTGTTTAGATCCAGCAGTTGGGCTGTTTAGATCCAGCGGTTGGGCTGTTTTGACCCAGCGGTTGGGCTGTTTAGATCCAGCAGTTGGGCTGTTTAGATCCAGCGGTTGGGCTGTTTTGACCCAGCGGTTGGGCTGTTTTGACCCAGCGGTTGGGCTGTTTTGACCCAGCGGTTGGGCTGTTTTGACCCAGCGGTTGGGACAAAATAACCCAATAGCTGGGTTTGTCCCTTTTTAACCCAGCGCTGGGTTATATTTAACCCAGCATTTTTTAGTGTAAGACGAAAAGTTACTTGAATAGCAGAAATGTAACAAATATATTTGTTCTCGACTTTTGCATGACAGTTTTTGATATATAAAAAATCTTTATTTGAAACGATTCTTTGAAGTGACCTGTTCAAAAGAATCGATTCGCAGACGTGGGTCGAACTTCATTTGAACGCATTTGTGGTCTCCAGGTGACTGTGCGCTCGTCGCGTGCCGTTGGCGCATGTCTTTTGTTACAGTTCTGAAGAACAAAGGCCAGTAAGTGTACAGTAGAAACTCCCGCGGCACAATGAGCTGCATGCTCTCCATCATGGCTCTAAATCTAATATCCTAGCCTCGAACGATGATCTCTGTGCTTACTATGAGCCCTTTTTAATAGGCCTAAATGTTTTCCACATAGTCCGATTTAGTGCTGAAGGATCTTAGATGTAATCCTTAGATATTGCAAGCTTTTCAGTGGCACAATATGCTCTTGCATTGCATTGCTCCACAAGTGTGAGTGTGATGTTGAGAGTCACATGTGGGACCATAAGTGGATTATTTCTAAAAAAGCATGTCATCAATTATCTTCTTAGCCTCTTGGATGAAGTTTGAAAGCAGGGTCTCAGATTTCTGTGAAGTGGCCCCTTTTAAATAAGTCTTTAAGCATTGTGAGTGGAAAGCGTGGTCCGGCCCAAAGGTGTTTCTGCTGTGATATGCTGCGAGGCCCACCTCTGCTCACTTAATAAGGAGGTTTTGAGGGGCCCAGAGGAGCGGCCCCTAATGAGTGTTCTGCCAAGCACATCTGACTGCATTTATAATATCTAATGAGTGGCTTTCACTGTATTTTAGATATTTTGCTTTCACTGTGCCTCTCTGCATATGCTAGATTTGAAAACGGGGTTGTGCAATAACATGGAAATGTTATCAGATGGTAATATCATGGTACTTTGATATATGTTATGGAATATATGTCTTAAAAGAACACCATGGTAAATAAAATCACACCCTAAATTACAGAAAAAAATACTGTAATAAAATAATTTATTAATTTAAATCACCATTAAAGTCTACCAGGATGTACATTTTATTATTTTTCATTATTTTAGTTTTTAAATATAATATTATTATTATTATTATATCAAATATATTATTATTTGTATAATTGAATACAAGTTTTACATTAAAGTAATTAGAATAAGGGTGATTGCTACTTTTTGCCACAATTCAGTATTCATAAAAAAAGTCAGAATTTTGGGATAAAAAGTCAAAATAATATTTACAGAGTTTATATCTCGCTATCTCGACTTTTTTCTCATAATTGCGAGATAAAAATAGCATATATAAATTATTTATTTTGTTTTTTAATTCTGTAGCGGAAACAGGCTTCCATTAAAATTATTAATGGTTCGAAGTTAAAGTACATTTTCTAAAAGTAAAATTTTTTTGTTTTTGGGGTGAAATATGATCTGCACGTGTCGACAGGTTTTGTGAGTTTCGCTCATATAGCGTCTGTGTTCACTACTACAGAACTGTATCGTGGTTTGTCTTCAAAAGCAGTTGGAAAGCACAGATAAGACCGCACAGTTTCACTTCTTTTTTTTTTTTTGGTCTCCTCATCTGCCATATATATATATATATATATATATATATATATATATAAGAAACTGTACAACAAATTTTGGAGGCCTTGTCAGAAATGATAGCCTTTAATATCCTGGCTGATACACTCCCTGTGTGCCGGGAGGCCTTGTCTTAATAGCTGTATTCTGGAATAAGAAAAGAGGGAGGGTTACCAGAAGAGTTCCCAGAAGATTACAACACAAACCTAATGTTTTCCCAACACGCTCACTGAGGCTTGACGCCTCATTTACTAGCCTGGTTTTGTGACTACTGAGATAATGACATGGCCACAGCTATGTGTGTGTGTGCGCTTGTTTTGTTCATGTTCAGTCTGAGACACTCTCCACACAAGGGCACTACAGAAACGAAGCGTACACTCTGGTGTTTACCTGACAGAAACCAGATCCTATGAATTCTCCTGCTAACCGCTCACTCCGCTACTGCTCTAGCTGTATTTCTAGTTCCACCAGCCCTGGGGAACACAGCTGCCACTGGGTCTCCACAGGGTGGGGCGTATGTGTGTGTGTGTGTGTGTGTGTGTAGCCGTGAGCAGCTCAAACCTAATATTGCAGAACACTGGAAGAGCGTTTGTCACAGAGACCTTAACTGTGAAAACAAGTCAGCAGTTGAGGCTGCTTAACCGCCTCACTAAAATACCCATAAACCCTTTCTACTTAAGCAAACTGGTGTGGTATTAATGCCATGCTTGTATTTGTAAGATTAATTTTAAGATGAAACCCAACTTAAATGGGTTAAAAAGCCTATTTTTTGGCAACTTAAACTATAAATTGATCAGCTGATAAGAGGAACTGCATTGTGCTCAATATTGGTAAATCATGTCACAGTTTATTATTATATTATGAAATCATTGCAAATAGGTTATTCTTACAGCTTAATAACGACCTAATATGTATCAATGTATTATAGCCAGGCTATTGGGCTGAATTTATTTAAGTGGGTTTATACATTTGGGGAGAAATGGCAAAGTGAGACATGAAGATTGGAATGGAAAATAAACTGTTATTTTTCTCCCGTTGCAAAAAATAAATGGTAACACTTTACAATAAGGTTTCATTAGTTAATGTTAGTTAATGAAAATACAGTTGTTCACTGTTAGTTCATGTTAATTCACAGTGCATTAACTAATGTTAACAAGCACAACTTTTGATTTTAATAGTGCATTAGTAAATATTAGTTGAAATTAACATTAACTAAGATTAGTAAATGCTGTAGAAGTATTTTTCATTCTTAGTTCATGTTAACTAAAGTAGTTAACTAATGTTGTAAAGTGTTACCAAATAAATAAATAAGGTTTAGGTTTATTAGACAAATATATATATACAGTGGGTACGGAACGTATTCAGACCCCCTTAAATTTATCACATGAGTGACTTCATGAGAGCATACATTCAGGACGAGAGGAAAAATAGAAAGAAATAAAGACCAAAACAAAAGTGCATATTGGGTGAATGAAGAGAATGAGTGCCAATTAAAACCTAAAGAGTGTGCAGTTGTGGAGGACACAGAATAATAAATGTCAGATACAGGGCAAGAAGAAAACTGGAGAATGAATGACTCCGTTAGAGGGCAAATGTCCAGAGATGATAGTGAAATAATTATGTAGCATTTGTCATCTGTTCCACTCAATTTCTGCTGTTTAACAACCATAAACCTTAATTTATTGCCAAGATGTCTTAAAGGAGTGTTCTGGGTTCAAAATGTTAAAAGAAGCTCTTTCGACTGCATTGACTCATCCTTTAATTTGCAACAAACTAAAAGCACATGCACAGTAATGGACTTACAATGGGAGTCTATGGGGCAAGACATTGCAGAGGGTTTAAAAGCAGAAATGTGCAGCTTGTGTTTTTGTACTTATTAATGGTCGACCGATATGGACTTTTTGATGGCTGATGCCGATATCTTGGGGAGCAGAGTAGCCAGTGTCCGATGGCCAGTAACATCAGGCCAAGGAAATTAGCTTTTGAGCTGACTTTGGTGCATCTGCATTCATGAATGTTGATTTAATGTATACAGTCTCTTTTTGAAATCAAATTAAATTAATCAGACAGTTTATTTTAAAGATTTTAAATAATATGCTGCAATGAAATTTATATTTATTTAACATAATATTTAATGAATTAAAATTAAATAAAAAAATAAAATTAAAAAAAAATAAAAAATAAATAAAAAAATTTAATCTTGATTAAAAAAAATACTTTTTAATATACACAGTTTACTTTGTTTTACATTTCGGTGTAATAATAGTCTAATGTCAGTAATTAATGCTGATACGTTTGCCTTGGTATATTAATATTGTAATAATATTAATTTTTTTCATACAAAAATGAGTTATTTTAGACATAAAGCTCAATAAATCCTTTTAGTATTGGGACTGTTTTAGGCAGATGAATTTCTGGTTTTTATAACAATCCTTTTCTGTTCTGTCCCTGGGTTTTATGTGGTCAGATTTTGAACTGACGGAATTAGTAAGTGATTTTAACTCTGTAGTTTCATGTCAACACATATAATAATTAGGTTTTGTGGCTATATTTTCCAAACAGTGTGTATTTAACATGCCTTCCAATGCCTTGCCCCTTAAACGTCTATTATAAGTGCATTACTGTACAAATAATATTTGTTAGGGTTTACAAACTGAAGGATGAGTTGAAATTGTTAAGGTCATATCTGTAAAGGAACAGTTAACCCAAAAAATATATATAATTTTCTGTATAACGACTTCATAGTGAACTGTCAAAATCCAAAAAAATAATTATTATTTTTGTGTTTTTTTTTTAATATTTGGGCCACCTATACGTTTTTGATAAAAATATCAAAATTAAATAAACATGCTCAGTTTATTCAAGTTATTTTCTGTATAAACTGCATTTTTAATGTATTTTTGAGTAACATTGATCCAGACACAAAAAAAATGAATGTTATGTCACTGACCCATGTATAATGAACATAAAATGGAGAGAAGAAAGCTTTTTTTGATAGACATAGAGAATTACAAGTTGAATTATGTTCACCATAAGGTTTGTTTAAAGGGTGTAGTGTGTATATGCAAATACTGCAGAAGAGGCTGTTGAGCTGTGTGTGTGTGTGTGTGTGTCTGTGTTGAATGGGCATCCAGGCGAGAGATGTTTCTGATCTGTGCCTGGGCAGATACACTGTTACGCTGGGGAACAGACAGCCTGGAGTTTATCACATGAGGGCCTGTGGCTTGAAGAAAGCTTGACAAACTATGAACTGTAGTTGTACTAAAAAGCCGATGGCATCCAAAACACAAGACATTTTTCAAAATATCTTCTTTTGGGCTCCGCGGATAAAGAAAGTCAGGCAGGTTTGGAACCTAATGTAACTCTGTCATCATTTGCTCACCCTCATTTCTGGGTGAACTCTCAGAAGCAGATGTCAATCTCTTGTTTTCCTCGTGTTGTCACAGGATACTCGACTGGAGTACAGCAGGTTCATCCAGCCCTGATCCAGAGGCAGTATGGGTAAGCATCTCTTCTCATTCTGCTAATGTCAGGGGTGAGGGAATAACATGAAATCCTAGCACGACCCCCCCAGAAACAGTCCCGACAAAACTGCAGTTTCATTTAGCCTAAAGCTGTCAGTTATTCTTAACAATCCTCTCCTCTCACATCCCGTCTCACTCAGATCTGAGGACACGAGCCGTGAACATTACTGCAGCTCTTCCTCACTATTTTTTTTATGTCACGTGTTTACAGTAGCGTCTGTTTCAGTTAGTTTCATCTCTCTGCCTCCTTCCCAAATTCTCTCTCACACTGTCACTCGGTCTCAGTTTCTCTCTTTTTACTCTCTTCCTCTTTCTGTATATCCCTCTTGGTTCCTTTCTGACAGTGTTTCTCTTTCTTTAACTTTCTCGACTCTCTGTCTCTCTTCCCTATCCTGTTTGACCTGTTTGTCTGTCAGTTAGGTCACCACCTGCCTCAAGTCTGCTAAGCAGCCAGGTGTTATGCAAAACAAACCCTCATCTCTCTCTTTCTTTGTCTCTCTTTGTCTATCTGTCTTGTTCCCTATTCCACCCACACATGCTCCCCAACATCTGAATCATATTATGCATATATTTCAAAGTAATAGTTCTTTAAAAAATGTATCATTGTTTACTCGCCCTCATGTTATACCAAACCCATAGTTTTTTCTACACAGTGGTAGATCTTAAGGGCTGCACAGTTAATCGAATTTCTAATCGCAATTACAATTACAATTAATGTCGCTATTACATAATCGTTCAAAGTCCACTTGTGTTATTCTGAGTGGTTGTGTTTTTTGTTTTGTTTCTACAGGTTATCTTAAGGGTTGTCCCATTGTTTTAATTTATATAATACCATGCATATTTTTACTTTTTTATTATTTAAAGAAGAAACCAATCCAATGTATAGTTGACATTTGAGGCTTAATAGAAAAGCAATAAAAGTTTTTCAGTTAAGAGTGTTTTCAGCTTGTTTATTTTAATATTTAAAAAAATGTGGCATGCAGTTCCTTCAAACAGTGGTTTAACATCATTCAATGTAAATTGTGATAATCGTAATTAATAATCGCAATTACAATTTCAAAAGAATAATCGACAATTATGAATTTTGTCATAATCGTGCAGCCCTAATTTTAAGTCATAAGGGCTACATTTATGATTATGACTTATGATACCTAAAAAAACTTTTTGGACCATGACCAATTTCTATGGAAAACATAATATTGCATTTATGGTTTAACATGCATATTTTCCCTAAGATGCTCAATTTTAATTGTCAGTTACTGTTTGAAAGGTAGGTTGTTGTTGACTCAACAACGTAAAATAGTTCAAATACAGTAAAATGGTAGTATTGTGAAAAATATTATTATTAGTAATATGGGCTAAATTTACGATTATGACTTTTATGGTACTTTTTTGTGCCGTTTAGCGCTTGACAACTGTCATTGGATAGAAAGAGGTGTAAAAATGTTCTTCACAAATTTCTATGGGAAATATATATTTTTTATTATTATTAATAATAATAACAGTAACAATAATGAATACACTACTGTTCAAAAGTCTGGGGTCAGTAAGAGTCTTTTAAAGAAATGTTTACTTTTATTCAGCAAGGATACCATTTATAATGTTATAAAGATTCCTAATATAAATAAATGCTTTTTTATTTTCAATTCATTGGAGCATTTAAAAAATCCTGAAAAATATATATATGTATCACGGGTTCCACAATAATATGAAGTAGCACAATTGTTTTAATGATTGATAATAATCAGACATGTGACACTGAAGACTGCTGTAATGATGCTAAAAATTCATCTTTGCATCACAGGAATAAATTACATTTTAAAATGCATTCAAATACCAAACAATTATTTTAAATTGTAATAATATTTCACAATATTGTTGTTTTTATTGTATTTTTGATCAAATAAATGCAGTGGTGAGCAGAAGAGACTTCTTTAAAAAAAAAAAAAAAAACGTAAAAAATCTATACCGACCCCAAATGTGTAGTTATTATTATAGTATAATAACTGGTTCTGCAAATGGACTACTGGACATTAAACATATAGTCAATATTTAATATATCGGTCATAAAATGAAATACAAAAATAGTCCAGTCACTAGCTGAATTTTACAGATGTGAATCTGGTTGTAGAATGAGCAGGGCTCGCAAAATCCCTAGCCAACGTCCCGGGGCTATTGTGTTTTCCAGTCGGGCTACCAAAATGTATCTATGGAAGCCCGTTTCCGCCACTGAATAAAAAATAAAACAAGGTAATTGCGACTTTTTATCTCACAATTCTGACTTTTTTTCTCAGAATTGCGTGATACAAACTCGCAATTGCGAGTTAAAAAGTCATAATTGAGAGACATAAAGTCGCAATTCTGAGAAATAAAGTCAGAACTGCGAGATATAAACTCATAATTCTGAGAACATATATCAGTCTTTTTTCACCCCTCAAAATTGGACTTTTAACTCGCAATTGCAGGTTTATATCTCACAATTATGTGAAAAAAAGTCCAAATTGTGAGATAAAAAGTTTAAAAAAATTTGCTTTTTTTATTCAGTGGCAGAAACGGGCTTCCATATGTATCACCACTCTTCTTAAATGCAGATCTCCTGCGGGTCCTTAAAAACTCGTAAAGTGAGTTGTATCAAACTTAAGGCCATAACAAGTTTTAAATACGTTAAATGGTATAAGAAATGTCTTAATCATAATTTCAAGAGGTCTTACAGTTGGGGACGGAAAGACAAGCGTTGCGATACGGCTGGATTAAACTTCAAAAGGCAGTGATTTCAATGAATAAATATGAGCGCTGCACGTGTCAAGTCAAAATGCGGCACGGATGTCTTTATTTAAATGGACCTGAAGGCAAACGACTGTCCTCAGAAATGTGCCGTTGGCATTTTAATTTCATTTGAGCTATAATTCCTGATAAAGCAGCGTTTATGAGCGAGGAGCTGCTTTGTGTGCAGCCGTTACGCGGGAAACCGCAATATTTAAAAAAAGCGCTACCTCGTGGCAGAGAATGAATTTGCATTTCCAATAAGCCTTTCTTGCCGTTTATGGTCAGATCAATGCAAATATCAACTTATGTTTTTACGCAGCAAACACAGAGTTGTAAATGAGAAAGAAGTTAATGTGCCTTCTAAAAATCTAAACAATTAAGAATGACAGTTTTAAATTGACATAATAATTTACATGCTTGATTTATCCCTTTTCATGAAAATGGTCTAAAGGCTGAAATGCTGTTGTATAAGATTTTAGTTTTTGTGAAAACCTGTATCTGAACTGTAAATCATGTAATTGTATGGCTCATTACTGTATGTAACCACAGACATTGTCCAACCCCACTCATACTGTGTTCATTTGACTTCTGCAGCTCTTAAAATGGGTCATAAATCGCCTAATTTGTTTTTAATTCTGCAGATACCCAGTAAATAGTTAAATAAAATTCCTTCCTTCATATTTGTTGATATTTGTGTATTGAAAATATTTTTGATTGAATTTAAACTCCTATCTTGCAAATATCAACTTATGTTTTTACGCAGCAAACACAGAGTTGTAAATGAGAAAGAAGTTAATGTGCCTTCTAAAAATCTAAACAATTAAGACAGTAATATTCATGCGTTTTAAATTGACATAATAATTTATATGCTTGACTTATCCCTTTTCATAAAAATGGTCTTAAGGCTGAAATGCTGTTGTATAAGATTTTAGTTTTTGTGAAAACCTGTATCTGAACTGTAAATCATGTAATTGTATGGCTCATTACTGTATGTAACCACAGACATTGTCCAACCCCACTCATACTGTGTTCATTTGACTTCTGCAGCTCTTAAAATGGGTCATAAATCGCCTCATTTGTTTTTAATTCTGCAGATACCCAGTAAATAGTTAAATAAAATTCCTTCCTTCATATTTGTTGATATTTGTGTATTGAAAATATTTTTGATTGAATTTAAACTCATATCTGATTTTCTATAAGTTAAATAGGCTAGTTAAATTAATTTTCGGGCTACCAAAATCTGAAGAGTACCTGCCCGAAGGGCTACCAGGGACTTTGAAATTTTGCGAGCCCTGATGAGGTTGTAACTCTTGTAAATAAATAACCAATCTCTGTGTGTACAGTGAGGTCTAGCGTTTAGAACAGGAGTGAGTGCCATATCATATGGGGGTCTCTATTTAAACTCACTGTCAGAGGGTTAGCTTTTTATTTTGAACGGGTGTCTTGTACCCATTGTGGGTCTGTTTGCAGTTAATAGTGCTACTGATTATTAACCCTAATCATTAACTTCCTCTTTGAGATGGCCAATGCTAATAATGAGAAACGTATCAGAGGCGAACTTAACTCCACTGCAGTAATGGCCAACAGACTGCAAACAACAAACAGACCTACAACAGTATGGTAGCTAAAGGCTATTCGAACATGCTAACAGTTAGCATAAGGCCTGATTAAAGAGATACTACACCCAAAAATGTCAATTGTGTCATCATTTAATCACCTTCATGTCGTTCCAAACCTGTAACTTTCTATATTGTGGAAAACAAGAAAGTTGAGCAATGAGGTTCAATGTATGGACAATGAAAGAGACCGTTTTCATACAGGTTTGGAGTGACATTTTTATTATTTTTAAGTGAACTCTATATTTAAGGTAACTAAAGAGATTGTCAGTTCTGATTAGGATGTGAGATTATTCGAAGCATCCAGTCAGTGTGTTGGGTTATCACTACTCAGTTATCTTATTTAGTGAGTAGCATGTCCTTGTTGAGAGGAAGATGGCCCCTGCTGTCGTTTCGAGTTGGCACTCTCGCCATCTGTTGGCTGGCATTAGAGGGATTTTCCCGTCTGGGGAGTATGGTGTTGGGTTTTGGGGTTTCCTGAGGTAGGAGGCTTTAGCCGGGTGCTGGAGATGGGGATTACAAAAGCGGAGGGTGCCGCTAACAAACCTCCTGTGGTTGGGGGTTGGCCAGCACACAGCATTGTGGGAGGTCTGCA